CACTGTAATGACTACATAGACTTTAGAGAATTATACATGGTTATGGGGTTTACTAGAGAAGTTAATAGATTATAATTCAGCTTAGCAACAGGATATAATCACTCAGTCCAGAGAGCTTCTCAAACATGATTGCAGGCCCTTTAACCCTCAGCCTCACAGTTTAAGTCAATGTTACAAAGTTCCTTTAGTCTTGCCAGATACGGTGATTTCTCTTAGGCCTCTGCCAAGCTTGAGTGAAGGCCTCTGTCTCTGTGGGTCAGCAGTCTTAACTCACCTATATCTCAATTATGTCTCTGGTCGGTTGTTGAGGCTGCTGTTGCTCTTGTGTAGATCTTGGTCTGGCTGGCATAGGAATCTCTGGCCCTGAAGGACACACTACTGCTTCCTCTTCCTTGTTTGTTGAGATTCCCAATTTCTGCTGCTTAAAATGGCTGTGGCAAAGTTAAATTCAATGGCCAGGAAAGTAATTTTGAGAAATAAACCCTTGAAATAAATCTCCAGTCATTTGTGATCAATATATCAAATCCATTCTTGAGATGATTTTTAAATGTGATGAAACAGAGTCAAGGTTATAGTTTGATTCTCCTGGACCTTTAATTTTCTAAAAACATGTCTTCCTTGTTACATATAGATGTAACTTATCACCACAGCCTTGTACTTCAGTATAGATCTTGAAATGCTTTTTTTGACAATAAATGTAACACTATTCTTCACTTTGTCATCCCTAGAATAATGGATCATATATACTTATCTGATTCAAAATGGTCAATATCAGTCCATTTCAACTCACTCGTGATCTCTTTATGCTAAATTTTGTTTTTCACAATTGTCCAGTTTCCTGCCTTGATTCCTGTACCTTTCACTTCCCAATAATTAATAGATATTTTGCAACTGTTTCTCCTCATTCTTACCATGTAAACAAATGAAAGTCCTTCACTGGGTGAAACTTTACTCCATCTTTATCACAAAGATAGACTCTACTTTAAGAAGGCAGCACTGCCTCAATCATATTTTTTTTAAAATTACTATTTTTAATTGATATTTTAACAAAAATTTACAGAAATCTTGGATTTCCATTCATTCATTGTTGTACATTTCCCTCCCTACACCCTCAATTCACTTTTCTTTTAAAAAAGATTCATTCATTGTTGCACAATTTCCTCCTTCCCTCCACCTCCCCCCAATTCATTTTGCTATGTACCACTTATTCTGGACTGTCTTTATGCAAATAATATTTAATCATATATTTTTTACACAGTTCTTTTCCCTCATCTATTTAAATGCAGTGTTCATTATCTATCCCCTCTTTTCTTAGTTTCTCCCTAACTCACATGTCAGTCTTGTTTTACAACAGTGGCATTATGTAGTATTTGTCCTTTGGTGACTGGGATATTTCACTCAGCATAATGTCCTCCAGGATCAACCATGTTGTATAATATTTTATGAGTTCCTTGGTTTTCAGTGCTATGTAACAATCCATTGTATGAATATACCACAACTTCTTTATCCATTAATTTGTTGATGGGCACTCGGGTTGCTTCCATCTCTTTGCTAGTGTGAACAATGCAGCAATAAACGTGATGTGCATATATCTGCTTCGGTGGCAGTTCTGGTTTCTTTAAAGTATATTCCCAGTAGTGGAATTGCTGGGTCAAAGGGTATTTCTATTTCCAACTTTTTGAGAAGGTGCCACACTGCCTTCCAGAGTGGTTGCACCATTTTAAACTCCCACCAATCAGTGTTGAGGAGCACATCTTCAGGCACTATATCCAACAATGTACTTCCTTGTCCATGTTATTGTTGTTATGTGTTGCCGAGTCACTTGCAACTCACAGAGACCACTGAAACCTGCTCTATCCTGTGCCAACTTTACTGTCTCTGACACAACTATTCTCATTACCCCAGTCACTGTATTAATCGTCTCATTGATGGGCTCCCTTTCTCTCCGTCCCTCCACCCTTCCAAGCATAATGTCCCTCTCCAAGGACTGGTCCCTACTTGCAACATGCCCAAAGTATGTCAGACGAAGCCTCAGAATCCTTACCTCCAAGGAGCAGCCTGGCTTTACCCTCTCTAGGACCAACCTGTTTGTTCTCCTGGTGGTCTATGGTAAATTCAAGACTCTTCTCTAGCATTACAGCTCAAAGGCATCTATCTCTTCCTATCATCCCTAGTCATAGTCAAGCTCTCTGATGAATAACAAGCAATTGTGAAGACTGTAGCCTGTATTGGGAGCACCTTAGTCTTCAGACTGACGTCTTTTTCTTCAGTACTCTGGAGAGGTCCCTGACAGCAGAATTTCACAATGCAATAGGGTTTCCAAAAGCCATTATGCAGAAGTGGATGGCCAGTCCTGCTTCTTAGTCTCAGTCCAATGCTCTGCTGAAACCTTTTCACCATGGGTGACCTGGTAGTATTTGAAGTACCAGTGGTATAGCTTCTAGAACTACAGAAACATTTAAGCCAGTATAGTAAACTTACAAGTGGTGGGAAAAGAATGCATTTAATGCCTTCTCAATTTTATTTAAAACATTAAGCTAAAAATCAATGCCTTAAAAAGCTAAAACTTAAAAAAAAAACCTAAAAATTCATCACCACAAAACCAGTGCACCATATCTATAGTGAGAACACTTTCTTTTTTTAATACGTAAATTTTTATTTTATATTGATTTGTTTACAGAGTTAGTATACGTTGTGTTTCACACTATTCTTCATTGACATTGTTTTATACAATCATTCCTATTCATTATGTTTTATAAAATTAAAAACCATTGAACTATGCCCATCATTACTCTGTTTATTCAGACCTTTCCCATTTCTTTTGTTGTTGTTGCTGTTCTCTTTTTTCCTTTTTATTATTATTAATTTTTTTATTTTAATGGACATTTACATAGATTTTGGATTTACATTCATTCATTGTTGCAGTTAATGACCTCAAATGAAGGGTTCACAATTAAGCATGGAAGTAAAATAAAAATCACAATTAATGAGGGCTGAGATCAATACTAAGGTGAATAATTTTTTAAATTAACTCCAATTATCCAAAATAGGTTTTATTTTCTCTATCAAAACCAGAGACATTTAAAAAGGCACAGCACAAAACCCAGAATTAAAATTAAGAACTAAAATTAAAGAGGTAACAAATAATAATTTTTAAAAATTTTATTTAAAAATTATTTGTTACACTTGATTGATACAACTGGTTAGTAGATTGTTTGTAGTGACTGATGAGCAATACAACTTTGAAGGGACTGGTATCAGAATAAAGTAGACAGTATTACAAATTAACACAAATACTGATAAATAATTTGGAACAAGAAAATGTCAAAGGGCAGAGACCATTTGCTGCAACTAGAGTGACCACACTTTTTCAAGACGATTCTGTAAGTTCCTTTTGTGTTTCAAGTCAGGAAAAAATTCTTCTCATTTATGACATTTACACGAAGTTTTGTAGGGTTTTAGTTTTCAAAATGAATTGCTTTGTGTCATATTTCATGATCTATGTGACAAAAAAGGACAGCTTAACTTGGAATGAAGATATCTTTAAATGATCTCTGTTGGGTCAAAGTTCTATATGAATTAATTTATTTATTAGTTATTTTAAAATATAACTAAAACCCAGGAACCTGAAGCCATCATAACTCTCTGAATATGGAATTTGTGTAATGTATAGATACGTTGTATAGATACATCATAGTCAATGGTGAGTGAGTAGCTGACTGCATAAAATCCCAATTCCTTTTTAAACTACAATTATTGGCAATTTCCATTACCCAAAGATTAACTGTGATTCTGATTCAGAAACCTATCATTTGCTTTTCAATCAGCTTATATTATTATTGGACTTAGAATGGATATGATATGATATGTATTTACCCCTACCTAGCTTCCTAACCTCAGGGCAGTTACATGATTTTTTGTATTTCAGTTTCCTGATAAATAAAATGCTATTATAATATATCTAAAAAAATTAAAGAGGTGAGTGACAATTCCTTTTTTCTTTATTTTTGTTATTTTAATGAAAATTTACACAAAGTTTGGGTTTTCATTCACTCATGCTGTTGCACATTTTCCTCCTTCCCTTTCTTTTTCTCTCCCCAAGTCCACTTTGTAATCTACCTCTTATTGCAGATTGTTAATTGTCATGTATATAATGCCTAATCATACATTCCTTTCAGTCATCACAACAATTGCTGGCAAGATTGTGGAGAGATTGGAATTCTTACTCATTGCTAGTGGGGATGTAAAATGGTACTGCCACTATGAAAGGCAGCCTGGTATTTTCTAAAAACATTGTAAATAGAAATAACATTTGACCCACCAATACTACTACTGGGAATGTGCTCTGAAGAAAGCAGAGACTCAAACAGATGTATGCACACCCGTGTTTATTGCTGTGCTGTTAACAATAGCAAACAGACTAAAGCAGCCCAAGTGTCCATTAACAAACAAATGGATAGAAAAACTATGGTACATTCACATAATGGAATATTACACAACACTGAAAAACAATGAACTTGTAAAATGCTATACAACATGAGTGAGCCTGGAAGACATTCTGCTGAGTGAAATATCTCAGTCACAAAAGGATAAATACTATTTAATACTACTGTTATAAAATAGGATTAACACTGGGGGATTTAGAGGGAGAACAGAAAAAAAGTCAACAGATAATGAACACTGCCAATTCCTTTTGAAATTTATTTGCTTCCCACAACAGTTCCTTCCTAATGCCCTGGGAATTCGTGTAATCCCTGCTTTCTCCAGGTGAAGGATGTCAGAAACCTACCCACCAAATGACTCAGTGGTTATTGGATACTTAAGTAGTAGGGTGGGGCCAGCTCAGAACCTTGGCTTCTAGCCCCGCCTTTCTCTGTCAGTAACCCCGCCCTCTCCGTTCCTCTCGCCCCGTCCCACTTGCCCGAGTGTGACGCGCAGGAACAGAGGATTCCTTTGCGCATGCCCGATGCAGCTGGACCAGTCAAGAAAGGCCCTCCACAATGAGGCGCGGCGTTCGGCGGGATCCTTCCCGGAAACGGAAGTTCAGGGGGCGGGCCAAGGGGGACCGAGAGCCCAAGGCGGTTAATTCTTATTACCGTGTGCCTTGGATTCCGTCGGTGTGGGCTTCTCTGTTGCTGCGAGAGATGGTCAGGTCCGGAACTCGGCCGGGCCAGGTGAGGGGTGTGGACTTGAGGCGTCCACGATGAGGGTGGAGGGACTCAGGTGGTTCTTGGACCGGGAGAAATGGAGAACTGCACTTGTGGGGGAAAAAAGAAAAACAAAGACGATGAGGCAATATTAAACATGCTTGGAAAAGTGAGGGGGCGGAGACACCAAGGATCACTATCCTTGACACAGCCGCACTGCCCTTGGATGTATATTTTGTTTAAGTGGTTATAGTTCTCCAAGCTGTGTCAGATGCACATCTGAACTTTCTCATCAGATCCCAGTGTGGCTATTAGCTGTGCCTTCATGCTGTGGCCACAGCTTTGCTGGCATTTGTTCTTAGGCTCTGTCGAGTACGCTCGTGAGACCCTATGAACAACAGATCTGAACCCTGCCCTGTACGCCGTCCTTGTAATTTCTGACATTCTTGAACCCATTGCTGCAGTTCTGTCAGTCCCTCTTGTTAAGGGTCTTCCTCCCTTGCCGTCCTTCCACCTTTCCAAGCATGATCATTCTCCAAGGAATAGCCTCTCCTAACAACATTTCCGAAGGACGTGTGACAAAGCTTTGTCTAATTTGACTCCAAGGAGCACTCAGCCTGCACTTTCAATAAGACAACTATTTGTTCTACAGTCCTGGGATATTCAGTACTCTTCTCCAACACCACAGTTCAAAGACATCAGTTCTTCTCTCATCCTTATTTATAGATCAGCTTTCAGATGCATAGCAAATGATTGAAAAGACCATGGCTTGAGTCAGGCACACTTCAGTCTTAAAACTGATAATTTGGCAAAGACCTTGACAGCAAACTTGCTCAGTGCAATGTCTCCTGGTCTCCTGATTGCTAGTACCAAGGAAGGGTGTTGATTGTGTAGGATGAAATTGTTGACAAGTTCGGTCTTCATCTGTCGTAATGTTGCCCATTGGGCCAGTGCTGAGAATTTGTGTTTCCTTGATGTTGAGATGTAATCCATATTGAAAGCTTTAGTCTTTGATCTACAGCAAGCATTTCAAGTCCTCACTTTGAGCAAGTAAGGTGGTGTCATCTGCATAACACAGGTTGTTAATGAGTCTTCCTCTGATCCTGAGAGCACAATCTTCTTCATAGAGATCAGCTTCTCGAATGATTTGCTCAGTATACAGATTGAATTGGTATAGAGAAAGCGTTCAACACTGACACACACCTTTCTTAATTTTTAACCATGTAGAGTTCCCTTGCTCTGTTAAGATAGCAACCTCTTGGTCTAGGTATAGGTTTCACATGAGCACAGTTAAGTTTTCTGGATTCCCCTTATTCACTTTTTTTTTTTATACCAGTAATAAAGTGCCAGTAATTTTGGTGATATTTTACTAGTAGTAAGGGGGGGGTGGATTCCAATTGATATCCTGCCCTTACTTCTCTCAAACATACCCTTGTTTGATGATAATTGTTTTCCTGCTCAATATTCAACACTGGGACATCCCTTTAAAATAATTGTTTTAGGTGAAAGTTTACCCGGCTAACTAGGTTCCTGTTTAACAATTTTTCAGCAGGTTTTTTCAGTGCTGTCGGTTACCATTCTCAATATTTCCATTCTGTTCCTTTTTTAAAATTGATCTAACTTTCCTTCTTTGCCTTCTCATCTTTGCTTTTGAACAAATGTTGACCGTTTGATCTCATGTCAATTTTAGTCTCATACCAGAGCTGCCTGAATGTTTAATTGTGTAAGAGAGCTCATGATTCAAAGTTGATTTCGTTTATATTTGGTTGTTATTAGGTGCTGTTGACTATGATTCACATTGACCCCATGAACAATAGGATGTCCTAACCTGTGCCATTCTCATTATCTTTGCTGTCACTGTGTCAGTCCATCTCTTTCACTGACCCTCCTCCACCTTACCAAGCATGATGCCCCTTTCCAGGAAATAGTTTTTCTAGCAACATGTTCAAAGTATGTCCAAGGAGCACACCTTCTCCAAGACATATCCATTAGTTCTTTTGACTGAAAGGGAACCCCAGGAGCATCTAGTCAAATTTAGTGGGTGTTTTAAGAAGATGGTCTGACCCTAAGATAAAATCTCAGTTCACTGGTCTGACAGAACAACCATCATTCTGGTGCTTGCTTTTCTTTCCTGTTCCTGCCTCTATTCCAGGAGCATGCAGTAATCTTCACCTTGTAGACCTGTAGTGCCCTGTATATGCCAGACCCTATAGCTTTTATACCTCTATACATTCTACTGTTTACTCTCTCTAGTCCTCTTCTGTCCCTGATAGCACCATTTCTATCTTCTGTCCTTCATGTAAAGTAGTATCTCTAGATGTCTTCCCTATCACCCTCACATCTTTGTTGGTTGGTCATCCCTTGTCTTTAGCACTTTGTACTAACCATTATTAAACCACTTTTCAGGCTAGAAGTTGCCAAGTATTTCTGCTAAAGCCAGGCCAAACTCACTGTTGCCAAGTCTGTTACACAATTAACCATATAGCAAGCTTTGGTGTGAGACCAAAATTGATATGAAATCAAATCAAATTCATAGTGATCCTATGGGAGACAGTAGAACTACCCCACAGGATTTCCAAGGCTACATATATTTATAGCATCAGACCCTCCATCTTTCTCCTGTGGACCAGCTGGTGGATTTAAACTGGCCGCCTTTCAGTTGGTTAGCAGGTGAATACCTTAATCGCCACGCCACCAAAGTACCACTTCTTCCACTAGATTGCTGTGTCTCTTCTGCACCTGTAAGGAGCCATTAGGATATGGTGGTTAAAGTTTTCAGCTGCTGACAGATCAGCGGTTGGAAACTATCAGCAGCTGTCTGGGAGGGAGGTGAGGTATTTTGCTTCTGTAGAGATTTCAAGCCTTGGAGTCACTATGAGTTTCTAATCTGTTCTGTGGGGTCACAGCACCTAATGTCTGCTTACTTTTAAGTGGATTTTTAGGGAATATCAAGGAATGAATCATTTATTCATCACACAGACAAATCCTCTATTGACAGATTTACTTAGTTCTAATTATCGTGTCTTCATTTGTCAAGTAATTTGTTTTTGTCAGCAATGCAAACCTTGCACTTTTTCCCAAGATATGGCTTAAGATTTTTTTTTTCACAATAGAAGGAATTACAAGAGAAGCCTGGAGCATTTGGTTATAAAAAGTGAAAAAAATTGGAAAGTAAAAGGGCTATGTTAAAGAGATACAAGAATCAGTCCACAAAATGGATTGACACAGTGACCCAGTCTGGGACACATTTTTTATCAAATAATGATAAAAATAATTTTAGTTACCAAAATAGGAATCATTGAATTCACATTGATATTAAATAATTAATAAAAGAAGGAGAAAACTACTGTCATGAAATTAAAAACCTTAGAAAAGAGCTATTTGAAAACAACTGATTTGCACACAAATCAGCAATGAATATTAAAACTTCAAGGTGAAAGTTTCATGAGAAATAGCATATCTATATAGTCTCAAATTGTCTTTCTACAAAATAGGTAATTACAAAGGGAAAAATAACTTTAGTGGAAAATGTGATAAATAGCATCTTAATGTTTAGATCACCAGTAACTGAAATTTAATTGTTGGTTGATATAAAAAGAGTATCAGTTGCTTCATGTGTATGTGAAAGATGGACAATGAATAAGAAATGCCAAAGGAATGCCTTGAATAAATAAGAAAGACCAAAAAAAAGTAATAGATGCTTTTTAATTGTATTGGCAAGAGTACTAAATATCTCATGGACTGCCAAAAGAACAAACAAATCTGTCTTGGAGGAAATGCAACTAGGGTGCTCCTTAGAGACAAGGGTGGTGAAACTTCACCTCATAGACTTTGAGCGCATTCTCAGGAGATGCCAGTCCTTGGAAGAAGACATCATGCTGGGAAAAGTAGAGGGTCATTCAAAGCGAGGAAGACCCTCCACAAAATGCACTGACACAGTGACTGCAATAATGAGTTTAAGCACAGTGGAAATAAAAGGCTGGCACATAGCGTAGGGCACAGTTTTGAGCTGTTGTTAGTAGGGCCACTGTGAGTCATAGCACACTCAATGCCATCTACCAATTACAACATTGTGATTATTTGAGAAAGACGCAACATCCATTTTGTGATAATATTGCAAAAAATGGATAACCTGAATCTAATCATAAAGAAATACCAAATAAATATAAGTATTCAGAGGGACAATCTTCAAAACAACTGTTGTTGATATGTGCCATTGACTATGACTCTAATTGTGATTCTTCGCAAGCCTTTAAAGGACAGATCTGAACCCTATCCTATCCCATGTCATCCTCATCAGTTCTGCTCCACTTGAACCCACTGTTGTTGTTGTTATGTGCCATCGAGTCGCTTGCAACTCATAGCGACCCTTTGTACAAGAGCTCTAAACGCCATTCTATCCTGTGCCAACTGAGCCATCTCAAACGTACTCATTCCCACCACTCCACTCACAGAATTGATCCATCTCATTGACTGTCTTCCTCTCCTTCACCACTCCTCTACTCTGCCAAACATGATGTCCCTCTCCAAGGACAGTCCCTTCTTGCAACAAGCCCGAAGTATGTCAGACGAAGCTTCAGAATCCTTGACTCCAAGGAACATTAGAATTGATTTATTAGTCCATCTCATTGAGGGTTTTTTCCAGCCCTCTTTTTCTGAGTATGATGTCCTTTTCCAAGAACTGGGCCTTTCTAATGAAATGCCCAAAGTTTGTGAGATGAAGCTCTCTCTTAGAAGCAGTCTGACAGTACTCCTAGTTGGACTGTATTCTTCATATATGTCAGTTATAGAAGATAATGACAGCCTTAAGAAATGCTCCAGTTTAAAGGACACTAAAGAATTAAACACTGAGTGGTTTAAAATAAAGGAAGGAGTGTCTCAGGGATATATCCTTTCCCATACATTTCAATCTATATGCAAAACAGATCTTGAGGAGGCTAGATTTTATGAGGAGGAATACCGCTTCAGGATTGGAGGAAGACTCATTAACAACCTGGGTTATGCAGATGATACAACCTTGCTTGCTGAAACTGAAGAGGACCTGAAGCATTTGTTGCAGTAGGTCAAAGACTGCAATCTTTAATATGTATTGCACCTCACCATCAAGAAAATAAAGATTCTTGCCACCAGGACAACTGGCAGCATTATGATAGACAGAGAAGGGATTGAGTTTAAGAATTTTGGCTTGCTTTACGCTCCACACTCAATACTCTTGGGACTAGTAGTCAGGAAATCAAAAGACGAATTACTTTAGGAACATTTGCTGTCAAGACATCTCCAGAATGCTGATGAGGAAGGATGTCAGTCTGGAGATTAAGGTGCATCTGGTCCAGGCCATGGTCTTCACAATTACTTGCTATGCATCAGAGAGCTGGATGCTTACTAGGGGTGACAGAAGAAGAATTGATGCCTTTGAGTTGTGCTGGAGAAAAGTATTGAACATACTGTGGACTGCCAAGAGAACAAAGAGGTCTGTCCTGAAGAGGGTCTTTCTCACGTACTTTGAGCATGTAGTCAGGAGGGATCAGTCTTTGGAGAAGGACATCATACTTGGAAGGGTGAAGGGTCAGCATAGGATAGGAAGACCATTGTTGAAATGTATTGACATAATGACTTTGGTAATGGTATATTGGAGATAGTGAGATTGGTTCAGGAAAGGGCAGAGTTCAGAGCTATTGTTCATAGGGTCACTATGAGTCATAGTTAACTCCACCACACATAACAACAACAAAGAGAAATACGTCATGCTTGGAGACATTCATCATGCTGCAAAAGCTAGAGAGGGTCAGCAAGAGGAAAAAACCTCCATGAGATAAATTGACACAGTGACTACCACAGTGGGCTTGAGCATCACAGAAATTGTGAGGATGGTGCAAGATAGGGAAAGGTTCAGATCTTTTGTTCAATGCACACCTATATTAAATTATTGCTTTGTTCACAATAGCAAAGAGTTGGAAACAACCCAAGTGCCCATCAACAAATAAATGGATAGAGAAGCTGTGATATAGTAACACAATTGAATACTATGCAGCCCTGATAAACAAGGAACTCATGAAATATTATATAATGTCCTGGAGGACATTATGCTGAGTGAAATATCTCAGTCATAAAAGGACAAATACTGCATGGTGCCACTGTTATAAAACAAGACTGACATTGGGTTTAGGGGGAAACCAAGAAGAAAGGGGATAAATAATGTACACTGAATTGAAACAGATGATGGAGAGAACTGTCTAAAAGGGATATATAATTAAGTATTATTTGCATGACAAGAGTCCAGAATAAGAGCTGCATAGTAAAGTGGACTGGGGGTGGTGGTGGATTATATAACAAAAGAATTTTGTTTTTCTTTTCAAAGAGAAAAGTGAAATGGAGGGGAGGAGTGGGCAGGGAGGAAAATGTGCAAAAATGAATGGAAATCCAGGTTTCTATAATCTTTCATTAGAATCTCAGTTAAAAATAATAAAGATCCTTTGTTCATAGGGTTGCTATGAGTTGTAGTTGATTTGATGGCATTTAACATATAATTCTGGGTTGGATAATGTTTGTAGATCAGATTATGATATGGTGCCAGTGTTGATTTCCTAATTTTTATACTTATTTGGTGATGATTTAAGAGAAGTCCCAAGAAATTTCAGGAGTATAGGCTTTGTGTCTAAAATTTATGCTGAAATGGTTCACATTTTAAAAAATACTGCATTTCTGTATTTTGACAGAAAAAAGGGCAAATGCAAAATGTCAGCAATTGAAGAATTTGAGTATAGAGTATCCAGGTCTTCTCTGTACTATTTTTCTCCTCTCTTCTGTTAATTTTAAATATAATAATTTTAATTGGTTTTGGACTTGGTTCAGGGTATAGCAGTAGCAGTAGTTTGGCGTTTTATTTTATTACAAACGTAGATCTACCATACCAAAGGGAGAGACCTTCGTGTGATGCTGAGGCAAGTAAAGCTAATTACATGTGGTCTTAATTCTTATGTTGTTGGTTTTTGTTGTGGATTTTATGACATTCTCATATTCCAAATTAAGGAGAAATGTAACTATCTAATTTTTTTTTTTAATTCTTAGTAGCATTTTAGGAAAAAGTGCATTTCATGTATTCAAGTAAGAATTGGATCTATTCCAGAAAGTTTAGTAGTTACTGCTCCAAACTTTGTTGTTGTTATGTGCCGTCGTGTCATTTGTGACTCATAGCGACCCTATGTACAACAGCCCTAAACCCTGCTCTATCCTGTGCCAATTGCACTACCTCTGACACACCCATCCTGATTACCCCAGTCATGGAATCAATCCACCTCATAGAGGGTCTTCCCCTCCTGTGCTGTCCCTCCACCTTCCCAAGCATGATGACCCTCTCCAAGGACCTGTCTCTCCTTACAACATGTCCAAAGTATGTCAGGCGAAGCCTCAGAATCCTTGCCTCCAAGGAGTAGCCTGGTTTAACCCTCTCCAGGATGAATCTGTTTGTTTTCCTAGCAGTCCATGGTACCCTCAATACTCTTCTCCAGCACCACAGCTCAACGGCATCAATTCTCCTATCATCCCTAGTCATTGTCCAACTCTCTGATGCATAACAAGTGATTGCAAAGACCATGGCCTGTATCAGATGCACCTTAGTCTCCAGAGAGACACCGTTGCTCTTGAGTACTTTAGAGAGGTCCCTAACAGCAGACTTTCCCATCGCAATACTTTTTTTTATTTCCTGGCTGCTGGTGCCAAGAGTGTTGACCATGGAGCCGAGATGAAATATATAAACATATCAATAAAAATTATAATGCAAACTTCTAAGTGGTTATATCTGGAGATTCAAACATGAAGAGCAAAATGGGAACTTTAAGTCACATCTTAAAATTGTATTCTGAATAGAAATAGATTGATCTGGTCTCAGATTATTAGAGAAGATGTCCTGGGGAAAAAAAATCTCCCTTCTTACTCTGCTGTCCCCACACGTTGCAGTATAGCATTCCTATTTAAAGAGACTCCAAGTGTACTGGAGTAGAACTGCCCTTCCAGAGTCTTTTCAAGACTTTTGAAAGTTGATCACCAGGCCTCTCTTCTGATGTACCTCTTACAGATTTGAATCTCCAGCCTTTCAGTTAGAAGCTAAGTGCTTAAACCATATGCTTCATCCTGGGACTCAAGTTTTCTTCCCCAGAAACAACCACATTGAATAATTCCCAAGGGGAAAAAATGAATGCATATGAAAGCACATTTTTCCCCCTACATGATATTTAGACCATGTATAGTGCCTTTAAAATGGAGATTTTTTTTTAATTGCTACATGACTTTATACCAAGATTGAAAGAATGAGAGGGGGGGGAAAGTGGAATTGTTTGCATGTACTAATCTTGTCAGACATCCTAAAATGGAATAAGAGTTATAAACTTTGCCTATGCATTGAGTAAATGCGTGTTTTGAAGAATATAGGGAATGTAGAAACTGTTTAAGGATTGAATATAATAATCCAAATTGACTATTATTAGTTACTTCTGATTTCAAAGTAATACATCAGTATTTTTTCAGCTCGGTAGATGAGGAACAAAACAAATCATTTGCTCATTTGATATGTCACATGAAAGAAGTAATTTATTGTAAGAGTTAAATTATTATGAAATATTTGGAGTTCACTGCAGCGACTGCAACATTGGGCTCAAGCATAACAATAACTGAAGACGCTGTGGACTTTGGCAGTAATTTGGTCTTATACGAATTGGTTCTAACTTGAAAGCACCTGACGACAAGAAGACAAAGAGCTCGGAGGACTTGGTGGGGAGAGGGCCACACTGCCGGCCTAAAGGCAGCTGCTGTGTAGGTTGAGAAAGATGAGCAGGCTCCTCCCATGTGATTTACAGCCTCTGAAAACCTGCTGGAGGGTCAGCTGTGCCTCAGTTCTGGCCCCCACAGCAGTGAGAGAGAAAAACAGCCACAACATTATGTTAATAAGTGATGAACATTTTGTGAAGACAGCTTGTTGAAAATACAGATCTTTGTATATTAACTATAATATGCTTGTGTCTTAGGTATTGTCTTCAGGAAGACACAATGGACCTACTAAATTGTCAAATGCAAAGAAAGGGTAAATACTTATAAAAACATTTACTATGTAAGATAATCTCTGGAAATTTCCTAGGTCTTTGGGCTGGACTACATTTTACCCATCCCAGAAACTACTTTTACACCTTTGCCTCTGCCTTTCCAGCTTTGGACAAGAATCTGTCACATCTCTGCATGTAAATCATTTTGGGGTTAAATGGTTTTTATAATCTTTATATGAATCTGTTCTTATCCAGCCTTTGCTGCAAAGAAAATATTAGTATCTTTTGGGCCAAAATAATTTTTTTTCAATATGTGTAAGGATATCAATAAATTTATTTTCTAGGATCCCTGTCAGAAAAGTATCACATTCTAATACCGATTCTGGTTCTTCCATCCCCTCTGATTTGGAAAATAAGGTAAGATTAAGCTTAATAAATACAATAGAAACTTTTAATTAGTCTTCAGGTAAAATCTAAGAGGTGGAAACAAAATATACAGGTCAAGAGTTAACTGGTTTAGGATGGGGGTAGTTGATAGTGGTTGGCTTCTTGCCTTCTGTGCAACTACAGGTGGCCCTTGAACAGCACAAGCCAGAGCTGCGTGCATACATACTAAGCCATCAGTTTGCTTTTGAACATCAACACCTGAGCAGTGTCTCTTGAGTAATTCTTAACAGTTCCAGCTCTTTTCATTATGGTTAGTGCAATACTGTAAGCCTGGAACTGCTTCATGAGACCTATCTGATGTGCCACTGATGATGCTAAAAGTGACACCCCTGAAGAAGTAAAGAAAAGTTGTGACATTAAAAGAAGTTAAATTGTTTGATATGGATTATGGATTAAGGTCTGTAGCTGCCTGCCATTTGAAGATAAATGCCTCTGGAAACTATGAACTTTGATAAATGTTAGTTATAGAAAGGCTTCAGGCCATTTGTTCATACGATCGCTATGAATTGTGCTCAACTCAATGGCAATCAATAGCAACAACATATGTAGTGTAAGGATCATTAATGAAAAAAGAAAAGGGCCTTTTGCTCATAGGCTCGCTATGAGTCGTGCTTGACTCGATGGCAATCAACAACAACAACGAATGTCATGTAAGGATAATTAATTAAAAAAAGAAAAGGGAATTTATGAAGCCATTGCTGCAGCTAAGCCAGCAAGCACAAAAATACTTGCACTTAAAAAAAAGTATTTTAATTTCTTTTGTTTTTTCCAGTTTGTTTTTATTTTATATTGGTTTGCATACAAAATTAATATACATTATGTATCATTCATGTACATTATGTTTCACTGAAATACCTTTTAATCTCATAGAAAATTCCATTTTTATGTGAAAACAATATATAATACATAAGTGTACAAATTATGTGCTAATCAGCTTATGTTAGCAATAAGGCTTCTAGTCAGTGGTAGACTGTTAGTAGTTAAGTTTTGAGAGAGTCAAAGTTATTTTTATGTAGAATTTATACAGATTTTCAACTACACAAGATGTTAGTTCCCCTAACGCCTTTGTTGTTCAAGGATCACTTCCTCCACCTTTCTATCAGGATAGCTTACATGTTGCTGTGATGCCAAAGAAATAACAAAAGTTTAGACTAAGACAGACAAGAAAGACAATTAGCTAATAGTATTCCTACAGAACACAGCTGTCTGATCCTGTTGTGCGTGGAGTTAGGCATCCACGCCGACTTGATGTCACCTGACAACAGCAAGGAACTATGAGGGCTTGTTGCTTTAGAACATGTTTCTGTCAGGAATTAATTGCTTCTAAATAAGGACATTTCAAAGCCATGTAATTTGTTTGTTTTCCTGCAGAACAATTTTCTATACAAATGTTTTCCACATGTTTGTCTCTACAGGTTGAAACCAAGCAGGGGCTAGATGGTTGTGCTTCTTTACTGCGGGACATTTTGAGAAATGAAGATTCAGGTTTTATTTTTTTTTTAATGTTTCTTTTCTGGTGACCTTTTTTAAATTAAGCAGACCTTTAAATTTTAATGAATTTTTGTTTTAATTGTAAACAGGTTCAGAAGCAACATGTTTAGAAAGTAGATATAAATTTAACTCCAGACCTTTAGAAGACAAAAGATCCAGATCCAGAAAGAGAAGACCTGAAAAACATACTGTTCCTTCTGCTGTCTGGAAAGAAACCGGTAAGCAGGGTTTTTTCCTCATTAACTTAAATATAATCTAGAATCTTGGGGGCTTTGCTGAATTATCAGGATTATGCCATTGTCTTTCCCTCTAATACTGTATTAACTGATCAGATGTATGAGTGCATATGCTTCTGTTTCTCTATTTAACTCCAAATCTCTGAATAGTTACTTTGCTTCCTGCCACTTTCCCTATGAGATAGAGGGGTGGGGGGAAGAAGCTGTGCCTGGGTTTTGTAAGAGAAAACTTCAAACTCACATCTTTCAACTTAAGAAATGTTGAGCATGCTCCTCCCTTTTGATTCTCTTACTCTGTGTTCTTTGCAGGGAAATCTGGTGTCTTAGTGGTAAGGAGTTGCTCTGCCAAACAAAAGATGTCATCAGATATGACTAGCGTCTCTTATATAGAGAATGGACCCCACCCTTCTCCCCACTCCTCCTTGATAACCGCTGATGAATATAGTTTCTGTGTATGTTTTTCTTCATGTCATTTCATAAAAGTGAGAACGTTTAGCTCTAGCATAATGTTCTTCAAGTCCACGTAGGTTTTAAGATGTTTTAGGAACTCATTTTTTCTTTATCCTTTAGTATTACTCTCTTACATGTGTGATTCCCCCCCCCCCCTTATGGCAAGTGATAAACAAACCTGTTTTTTGTCTTCAAGGGAAACATTACCACTTCCCTCAAGATTGCGTGCTTTCTTAGCAGACCCAGCAAGTCTCGAGAAAGCAGGAGAAACCCATAAAGGACTCTCTCTTTTAACAGTGAAATCCATGCACATCAGCATCCCAGGGAGAACAGGGTGGAAATGGTAGAGGATGGATTTGGTGGAGCAGATGGAAAATATCTGGTGTTTTGGATTCCTAGAATTAACTACTCTTTCAGATTAGAGTTAGGTCAGCAGTTCTTGCCTGTGATCAGGGCACAGTAGTCTCTCTTTCCCTCCCAGACTTTGTTCACCAGAAGATTGGCCCTAATTCCCATAGCACTGTCTCCTGTAGGGTGACAGTAATTTTCATTGTTTTATTTACTTCTCTTTGCTTATTTATAAGCAGTCGAATTTCTCTTCTCTTTGGTTTCATTGTTCTGTCCTTATTAGTATAACAAATTCTTTAGCACTGTAATGTTTTTCCTGTTACTCCAGTGTTCGAGTTCACAAACCCAAGCTCAACACTTGTTCTGTTTTTCTTATTACCCTGAGGAATCTCTTATCTTAGATTGTATTGTTATGTGCCTTCAAGTCCCCTGCAACTCATAGTGACCCTGCCCTATCCTGAGCCAACCTTACTGTCTCTGACACACTCGCACCCATTACCCCAGTCACTGTGTCAATTCATCTCATCGAGGGTCTTCCTCTCCTGTGCTGTCCCTCCACTCTCCTAAGCATCATGTCCCTCTCTAAGGACTGGTCCCTCCTTGCAACGTGCCCAAAGAGATTGTTGATGTTGATTGCCTTGATTCGAGCACAACTCATTGTGACCCTATGAACAAAAGGCCTGCATCCCCTCTACAACTACTGACATTTATCAAAGTTCATAGAGCTTCTGGAGGCATGTTGTTTAGGAAGTGGATAATCTAAAAATATTTTCGATTAGATACTCTTATTTTAGATTAGAAAATTTAAAAGTAGATAATATTTAAAGTATCTGTGTATCACTTCAGTTTTAACTTACATTATCTTGCTATTTGGTGTTAACTCTCCTCTGGAGTATGTCCTATGGAATCAATGCAATGTACCAATGAAAACAAGGAACTCATGAAATATTACACAAAATGGGTGACTCTGGAGAACATTATGCTGAGTGAAATATCTCAGTCACAAAAAACCAAATATGGCATAATGCCAGTGTTATAAAAGAGGACTGACATAGGGGTTGGGGGGAGACTGAGAAAGATGGGATAAATAATGTATACTGCATTGAAACGGATGAGCGAGAACTGATTAAAAGGGATATATGATTAGATATTATTGCTATGACAGGAGTTCAGAATGGAGGTTAGATAGTGGACTTGGAGGGAGGGATTGAATAACAATGAAAGAGTTTTTTCTTTTCAAAAAGAAAAGCGAATTGGGGGTGGACAGGGAGAAAAGTGCAACAATGAATGAAAGGAAATCCAAAGTCTTGGTAAACTTTCATTAAAATCAATTTAAAATAAGAAAAATAAAAAAGAAATCAGGCTGATGGGTGGCACTGCAGGGTGAAGGGAAAAAGAAAAAGAAATAGAAAAACAAAATTAAGAAAAAGACAGTAAGAAAGCAGATAATTCTAGAAATGCACTGAACTTATTTGGAAGCACTTCTGACATTTAAGGAAGCATTTTTTGTTTTCCTTCTAAAATTAGGTTTGTTGATTACATTGAGTATGTGACCTCTTTTAGTAACAAATAATTTCTTCCCTCACCGGGGAGAATTAAATCATCACAAATAGAATCTTTGCATTGATTACCCCTATCAGAGTTAGGTTTTCTTTCACATGTTTCAGACTATAATTACAATCCATGGCTTCTGTCTACATTGGAGGTTTGTTCTCTATTTGGGTGGAAGATGTTTTCTTACCTGATAGTGGAGCAACATTTAGTGCTTGTACCTCAGGTAGCATGTAAAAACTAGAGATTTTTTTTTTAACTGAATAAAGAGTTCTGGTGGTTTATGAATAAATTTATCATCTGCCACCATCTGCATTTTCATGGAACATGCTTTGGTATAATGAAACAAGAGCAAGAAAAAAAATACAATTGTGTTTGTGTAGTAATGAGTTCTTTTTATTGTTGTCACTTTGTTTTGTTTAACACTATGTAGTTTCAATAATAAATGTGTCATTTTATCAACTTAATGATATCAGACTTAAGTATAGTTTTATATGGACTGAATTAATAAGTAGGAGCTTTGATTTTTTTTAAGATATTTTTCACTGATAAATTTATGTTGGATGATGATATTTGAAGGTAAGAGGAGTATAACATAGCTTAGATTTATAAGAAGTTATATAAAACACCCTTGAAAAGAAAGTGAAAGCCAATTACAGGAATGTGAGTGTGAAATCTGAGAATTCTTCAGACAAGACATTTTTTGTTTTCAAAAGCGAGATGCAATCCAAGAGCAAGAGCGAACTGAAAGTTGTCAGCAGAGGCACCATGCAGAGCTGGTGTGATGTGTACACTTGCAGACCTGAAATCTGATTCAGTGGTCATGGTTAACTGATTTCACCTTCAAAATGAATTATTTTAGAAGATTCTTTTTCATTTAGTTTATTGTACACTTGTGTTTCTAATGAGAACCAGCATATTTCTGTAGACATTTCCTTAGCTATTTTTAGTATATCTTATCTGTTCAGATAATGACAAATAATTTAATGGATTTTCTCTTAGTAACATGTTTAGAAGGGATATATGGAGAGATATCAGGGACTTATTAACATAATCTGGGAAGATTTATAAATTTAAAAATATTTATCTAAAGACTTTATAGCCATTTGGTAATAGATAAAAAATTTACCAAATTTTTACTGTATGCTAGACATTGATCTAAATGCTTTATTATTTTATCTGATTATTTCTTAAAACAAGCACTTGATATTAAACCAAACCTACAGCCCTTAAGTTTGTTCCAACTCAGCACTACCCTAGACTACAATTGATTACCATTTCTTCTATTGATGGCTGCTTTGGAGTTTTCCATTTTTGGCATCTACTAATGTAAACATTCTTCTATACATCTTTCAGAAGATGTAAGCTTTTGTTTCTTTTATGTATATACTGAAGAGTAGAATTGCTGTATGTAAGATAAATATGTATATATTAAATTTTGGTAGATACTACCAGAAAAGCTTTTTCTGAATTTATTTTATGCCCTGATAACCTACAGTCAGAATATTGATTGTTGTTAATAGTATTTTAAAAACATTTCAGATGGGAATGTTATTTTCTTGCTCTTATTGCTATTGCATTGGAATCAGCTTATGGCAGACCCTGCCTTGGGACCATACGTTGGCAGAAGGAGTTTGCCCATCTTTCTCCCCTGGGGCTGCTGGTCAATTCAAATTGCCAGAGAGGCATGTCCTTTCTGTTAGCCCCACAACTTTTTATGACTAGGCCATCAGAGCTTTTTGGACTGTTACTTGGGAAATACAGTTCTAGTTTTTGCACTAACCTATAGAGGCATGCTATTGAATGTTTTCATTTATTACCTTCTCAATACCAGATTTCTACTTTGTACATAAACTATTACCAGGCCCTATAAGATAAAATAATGAAGTATAAGGTATAGCCCGCCCCACCTAAAGAAGCTTATATCTGGGTCAGAAGGACAAGAGATTGAAATGATTTTAGTCATATAGATATATATGACTATATGTAGGTGGAACATGGTGTGTGCAGACACAGTGTGCTCTTGGGTTGAGCAGTCACTGAACTGGAATAATTAAAAAGCTTCATGGAAGAGTTAGGCCCAATGCTGAGCTTCATGAGTGGGTAAAATTGAATTGGGAAGGATGGGTTAGCATGAACAATGTTATAGAAAGCTGAGAAAGTCCTGTTAGGTGACTAAGTTTGCCTGGGTAGAATAAAATATTTGAGTTTGTGGTCTTGGGGAGATAGTTGGAAAGGTAGGATTTGAAGGCCCACTGTGTAGTTGTCCTTTCTTTGTGATCTCTAAGCTTTGGTTTTTCTTTGCAGCGTCACAGTTGCTGTACTATTTCCTTTTCCCTGTTCCATTTTTCTCTGGGCACATGAACTGGGCCAGAGGCAATGTGAAGGATTTGTGTTGGCCTTTAGATAGAGTGTAGCACCCTCAAGAGCACTTTGTTTTCTGAATGTAATTGAGAAGAAATTGGAAAATAGTATTTAATGGAGATTTTTGTTGTTATGTGCCGTCGAGTCGCTTGCGACTCATAGCGATCCTATGTACAACAGCCCTAAACTGTGCTCTGTCCTGTGCCAATCGCACTGTCTCTGATGCTCCCATCCCAATTATCCCAGTCACTGAATCATTCCACCTCATGGAGGGCCTTCTTCTTCTGCGCTGTCCCTCCACCCTCCCAAGCATGATGTCCCTCTCTAAGAACCGGTCTCTCCTCACAACATGTCCAAAGTATGTTAGACGGAGCCTCAGAATCCTTGCCTCCAAGGAGCCACCCGGTTTAACCCTTTCCAGGACAAATCTGTTTGTTTTCCTAGCAGTCCATGGTATTCTCAATACTCTTCTTCTCCAGCACCACAGCTCAAAGGCATCAATTCTCCTTCTATCCTCCTTGGTCATTGTCCAACTCTCTGATGCATAACAAGTGATTGCGAAGACCATAGCCTGTATCAGACACACCTTAGTCTCCAGAGAGACACCATTGCTCTTCAGTAATTTGGAAAGGTCCCTAACAGCAGACTTTCCCATGGCAATTGCGCCTTTTAATTTCCTGACTGCTGGTGCCAAGACTGTTGACTATGGAGCCAAGCAAACTAAAAGCTGTGTACAATCTCAATCTCTTCACCACCCATCCTGATGCTGCCAATTGGTCCAGTGGTGAGAATCTTTGTCTTCTTGACATTGAGCCTCAATCCATATTGTAGGCTGCAGTCCTTGACACTGCACCAGGCGCGTTCCACTTCAGTTTCAGCAAGCAGGGTTGTGTCATCCGCATAACGCAGGTTGTTGATAAATGGTCCACTATTTTAAAAATCAATTAATATTGATACTTTTTGATGGGAGAAACAATTTATTGCCTACATAATTTGAGAAAAAGGATTTAAAGTGATGTTCTTTAGGGTAATAGTTGTAAAGGCATTCCATGAAGTATATCATAATGAATTGGGCTGCTTCTGAAAATCCTTTCTGTCTGTAACATCTTGTTCAGACAGTGTTTTTAAGAATCATTATGTCAATAACTTTTTTCCTTCTTCCATATTAGTATCTTTAGATAATAAGAAACACATACTTACTGAAGCTTCTGCTAGAAGTGAAAGAGACTCATCAGACACAGCACAGGATCAGTCCTTAGAAGATCATTACCGCTTGTATTCGCCCATAATATACCAAGCCCTCTGTGAGCACGTGCAGACGCAAATGTCACTGCTGGATAACTTGGCTTCAAAGAACAATCCCAATGGAGTTCCTGACACACCTTGCCATACTGTTTCTGGTACGGTTAGTATGAAAATTGTCTTTGAAAGCATGAATATAAGCTCTTCATTTAACTCTCTGCTTATTGCTTAAGCCATATGAGATATGAATGATGTTCTCCATGTCTTACCTTTTAGCATCTTGGGCAACTCCACGTTCTGGCTATGGCTTACCTACCCCGTCACCAGTCTTGTCACCTCAGCGACTACCCTGTTCTGCCGTAGTTCATTCTGTGAGTACAGTTTTCACATTATACGAGGCAATTTGCTGTTAGAAATTGTCATCTTAGTAAGGAAAATTGAATGTACTGTTTGTCTTTCAATGCAATAGTATGTAAATGCTATTAAAAAAAAGTTGGCATAATCCATAGGGAGTTGCACTGCTAACCATGGTAGCTCCTCTCTGGGGGTTCAAATCCACTAGCAGCTCCGCAGGAGAGATATAGGTATTCTCCCCTGGCATCTGAGAACTCACCCACAGCCTCAGCTATGGGTGAGTTCCAACTTGACAGCAATTATCGGGGATCCAGCCCCGATATGTCGATATGTCGGGAGAATTCAGCCAGAGGGAGGCACCAGGTTGAAATGAAGTTGCGGAGAGGCTAATTGCTGATGACAAATAGCAGGTTTAATATTCTGGCAAGGGTATATATACACAGACGTCTTAGGAACATGGCCTGCATGGGTAATTGCATTATCTCTTATCTGTCTGAGATGTTGACTGGTAGATCAAACATTCCCAGACCTCAACACAAAACAAAGACATCTTCCGGGGATATCCTATGATATCTATTGGAAAACAAGAAGGTATCACATTCCTAGAAATCTGAGGCCTTTGGTCACTCCTTATTCATTAG